TGGTTCTGCTGGAGGTTTCTTCCTGTTAAAAGGGAGTTTTTCTTCTCCACTGTCGTACCAAGCATGCTTACTGTCAGGGATTGTATTTGAGTCAATGAGTCGATGCAATCAACTGGTTTTCCTTAGATAGAAAACTTTGAATCAATTTAACTGGATGATCTGGTGAACTGTTAAGTGTCTTGAGTTGACTTGTGTTGTGAATTGGCGCTATAGATATAAACTGAATTGAATTGAATAAGGCAACAATAAAACAGAACGACACAAACAAACAAAAAAGAATCAAATCAAATAAAAAGACAAGGGGGCATTATGTTACGCAATTATCTAGGCTTTTATTTTGAAATATTTTCCTGCACTTCCGGGCCAGCCTTGAAACCTTCTTCGTCTTTCAACTCCGAACAAGAAAATGCTAAAAGGAATTGGCGAAAACCAAAAACGGGACGGTTTTTTTATTAAGTTTTTCTGTTTTTTCATTCATAAATTCCGGTGACAGGAAAGGAAAAACGGCTTTTTTCTGTTTCTGATTTCTAAATGGAAAAACGGAAGAAGTATCTGTTTTTGGTTCTGATTTTTCAGAAAAAAAACAAAATGCCTGAACGTATGTGGACCAGAAAACTCCAGCAGCCGCCACTGTGTTTAACCCAGAATGATTTGACATTTAAATATAATTTCCCTACGACTTTAATTAAACCTAATTGAATGGGGATCAAACTTCTAAATATATTTGAATCCCTTGCCTGGTGTTACCCCCATGAAAACATGCTGGCCCCATCCAGGGCCCCTGGCCCCCTCCTGGGCCCCTAGCACATTTGGCCTAGAACCGCCACTGTTACAAAATAACTGATTATCATTTAATTACGACTAATCTGATTGTTTCATGCCTGCTGTTTAGACATATGTTTAGACCCACCTTTCCGTCCACACTGATCACTCTTTTCCCGGTGGTCGTCCCATGTTCGAACTCGATCCTGTGGACTCCGTCGCTCAGGGCGACCTCCCACACACCAGCCAGGTCACTGGACATGCCGACTGGGTCCGAACCTGCGGAGCTCCAACAGAACCAGGCTTTAAATCACAGCCGCTAGCAGCGCTGCTAACCTGCGGGGCGTCATAAACAGCTTTACCCAGATGGTTCCCCGTTAGCACAATAAAACAAGATCAACAACAGAAGCGCAGTTCAAACAGAACATGATGATGAATGAAGCGGTCAACTCAGAAGAAAAGCTGCTAAAGATAGCATGCTAAGCTACCGCTGCTTATGCTACCTTACTTCCGGTACAAGATAATACATTTCACAATAAAAGATTCTTAATCAACTTCAGTGCCGGTAACCTTCTCTACATTCGAATATTTGTTTTAATTTAAAATGACTATAAATAAAATTAAATAATAATATAATTAAAAATGTTATTAAAAAATAATATAAATAAAATTAAATAATAATATAAATATAATTAAAGATTTAATCAAAGTTAGAAATAAATATAAATAAAATTTAATAATATTAAAAATATAATTCAAAATAAAAGAAAAAAATAATATAAATACAATTAAATAATAATATAAAAACAATGAAACATTTAATTTAAGTTAGAAATGAATATAAATAAAATTGAATAATGAAAAAATTGAAAAATGAAACATTTAATAAAACTTTTCTGAGACAAATACTATACTTTACTATCTATTTTTTTTTTTTTTTTTGCACCTTTGAAAAACTGGTCACAAGGTCTGAAAAGATTCATTTTCACAAACTAAGATTTTAAAATCTTACAAATACATTTAAGTAATTTATGAAGTATGGATTAAAATTAGTGTTGTGCCGATGCAAGTTTTTGGCCCCGATAAGTGGCTGTGCAGTATTGGCTGATACAATCTGTTTGAAATGGATGTGTGTATATATGAATAACTGCATACTACTTGGATGTAAAATAATTGCCATCATGGCTTTGTCAAGCTGCTGCCTACCTTTGTAAAGCAGGAAAAGGACTAAAACAAAGTGAGTCCAGTAGGACTTTTTATTGCCTACCTGGAATGGGTGACAATAGTTGAAGAAACTTTTGGCTCTCAAAATGGTATTGGTGCCCTATTGGTTGGTACTTGCTGATACCGATGCCACAGAGGGAGTCTTTTTTGAAATGCTCCATGCAGGAACTGTATTTATTTCTCTATTCTTTTTATTTATTTATTTATTTCTAAATCACATCTATAAAAAAGTGTGTTTAATTCGAAATTAATCAATAATTTTGTCTTAGACAACTTTTATAATAACTCATTTGTATA